CTGTCTTTATTGTTTTGATTCTGTTTTAATACAGTAGTCTGTATTAAAGGATTAAAAAAAAAAGCTTTGGAGAGTTACCATCAATATCCAGTGGGTGTACGTGGAATTTTTTCCCCTTCCTTTCCTCGAAGGGCACTGAAAGTGTCAATTCTCTTCGTGTTCTGCTGATCTGGGAAATCAAGGCTCTGTTGAGCTGAGCATGTTTTTTTTTTCCTCATTTGCTGCTCCTTGTTTTTGTTAGTGTGGCATTTGGGGACTCTCTTGGGTCAAGGTCAGTTAAAAGAGGTACATTTATTTACTCTGAACATTTTTGGATGTTTCAGATGTGATACTAATTTGTATGGGTTTTGGTGCTTTGGGTAGTTGTATAAATTCATAGAAACCCCTCTGCTGGGAGGACAGGCTGAGAGAGTTGGGGGAGTTCAGCCTGGAGAAGAGAAGGCTCCAGGGAGACCTTGGAGCCCCTTCCAGTCCCTCAAGGGGCTCCAGGAAAGCTGGGGAGGGACTCTTGATGAGGGAGGGGAGCCCTAGGAGGAGGGGGAAGGGTTTGACCCTGAAAGAGGGGAGATGGAGCTGAGATGTGGGGAAGAACTTGTTTGGTGTGAGGGTGGTGAGAGCCTGGCCCAGGTTGCCCCGAGAAGCTGTGGCTGCCCCATCCCTGGAGGGGTTCAAGGGCAGGTTGGAGGGGGCTTGGAGCAACCTGGTGTGGTGGGAGGTGTCCCTGCCCAGGGCAGGGGGTTGAAACTAGATGATCTTTAAGGTCCCTTTCAACCTAAACCATTCTATGATTCTGTGATAAAGAGTAAGGATTTTTTTTTTTCATTAAAATTTCTAAACAATTAAAGTTAAAAAGTTAATACATCCGTTTTTTTACCATCTTGCATTGTTCCAAATGGAATTCAGGCCCCTGCTTGGCTCATTGTTGAATTTCTTGGCCTTTAAATGGAAATTCCTTCACCTATGCAAATTCAGCCCTTTCTTTTATTCAAGGGGCCTGTACACAAAGTGTCTGTTTACATTTTTGCATAGTTCTCTATATGTAGTTAAATCAGCTTTTTACTGTAGAGAGTAATTTGCTTTCTGATTTCCAAACTCTTACTGAGTTCAACTGTTTTTACTCTGCAAGCTGGGACTTTCATCTTTGGATTTGTATAACTTGGCAAATAGAACATTTTTTTATTTTACACTAATGTATATTTTAATGTTAATATATTGATTTTTTTATGAAAGTGGGAGCTTTACACATTTCTAGCCCAAGTGACCATCCATGTACCAGGTTGAGCCCATCTTTTTCTCCTTGTTTTCTCTAGGAAAACCTGTTGAAATACCGTTTTCCACTCACCCAACTCCTTAATTCACATTGTTATGCGTATTGACAATGAGAACTTAAAAATATACATGAATATTTCATAGCATCTATTATCTTAAATTGATAGGAGTAATTTAAATTCCTTAGCACTTGCTGGAGTTCTTGTTTGGGGATGACAAAGTTTCTCAGTTCCCTTGTCGTTCCACAGGTTCACAGAGCCCAAGGGAAAATTAGATCATGTAATCTAATTTTTTTAATATGACAGATCATGAGGTTTCATCCAGATATTTTTCAGCACATGAATGCAAACCAAAGAATTTCCTTCCTTGGGAAACGAAGCGACCAGCTCAGCCTTGTGCTGCGCCTTCGAGTGTGTTATCCCAGGTCAGAAACCTGGTGAGGAGTGTAAGGAGAAGATCATAGAATGGTTTGGGTCGGAAGGGAATCTAAAGCTCATCTAGAACTTCCTCGTGTCACTGGCCACCACTGGAAAAAGACTGGCCCCATCCTCCTGACACCCACCCCTTAAGGGTTTAGCGGTGTTGATCAGATCCTCCCTCAGTCTTCTCTTCTCCAGACTAAAAAGGCCCAAGTCCCTCAGCCTTTCCTCAGCAGAGAGATGTTCTTTTCCCCTCATGATCTCTATAGCCTCTGCTGTCCCCTCTCCAGCAGTTCCCTGTCCTTCTGGAACTGGGGAGCCCACAACTGGTCCCAGTGCTCCAGCTGGGGCCTCCCCAGGGCAGAGCAGAGGGGCAGGATGACCTCCCTCCACCTGCTGCTCACACTCTTCCTGATGCCCCCCAGGATGCCCTTGGCCTTCTTGGCCACCAGGGCCCATTGCTGGCTCATGGTCACCCTGTTGTCCACCAGGACTCCCAGGTCTTTTTCCTCAGAGCTGCTTTGAGAAAAATTTAAGCATTGTTTAAATTGAATTACGTGCTGTCTTGCCGGCTTTTATTTTTTATTAGAAGCCCGTTTAAAATACAGAACAAAATCAAAAACTGGTCTAAAATGTTTTTAATTTATGGAGCTGCTACTGTAAAATACATTTTCTTCTTGCTGGAGCTCAGAGTCGTTCCAAGTCCAAGATTTCTGTTGGTTTTGTGAGTAAATTTGATTTGCATGGTATTTTGTAATTCTGCGCTCGGGCCAGTCGAACGCTTTTGTTTTGCTTCTCTAGTGTAAACCTTTTCATGTAGGAGGTTTTTAGGGGATATCTCGGGCTTCCAGCTCAGCACAATTAGTGTTACGCAATTAGTGTAAGCGGAATGTGTTTTGTATGGGGGAGGGATAAAAAAAAAAAACCCATGGTGAAATATCTGTATCCAGGTTTTGTGTAAGTTGAGCATCCTTAACATTTAGCTCTGGTTGGATGTTTTCAAATAAGATTAACTAAGAATTGGAAAATTACTGCCTTTGCCTAAAGTCTTCCCAGATTTATGTTTCAAAGATGGTTACTTGTTTTCTTTTACCTTTTCAATATTAATAATGCATTTCAGTTCTTCCTAGTAGTTCTTTCGGCAGTTATTTATACTGGAAGTAAATTATTCTGGAAGGACATTGTGGTTTTTAGATGTTTGCTGACCTGACTGGGTTATTGGCCTTTGGAACAAGAGAGCCTAAAATAAACTGTGTTGTAATGTTAGATGAAGTATCTCAAAGGCCTTATAAAGTAGATTTATTTGCAAGCATCTCGGATGACTTTCCCTGTTCATACAGAGGTGTGTTTGTGTGACACAGTCGTGTTGCCCTTTGTCCTCGCCTGAACTATGTGAGGTGAGATTCCAGAAGATGAGATGTGAGGACTGGAGTTATGGAATCCTAGAATTGTCTAGGTTGGAGGGGACCTTTAAGATCATCGAGTCTAGCAATCAACCTAACTCTGATAAAAAGCCATGACTAAACAATGCCACTAAGCTCAATGTCATAGAATCATCTAGGTTGGAAGATCATTCAAGATCATCTAGTCCAACCATCAACCCAACTCTGCCAAAAAAACCCATCACTAAACCATGTCCCCCAGCACCATGTCAGCCCATCCTTTGAACACCTCCAGGGATTCACCTCAACCACTTCCCTGGGCAGCCTCTTCCAAGGTTTAATAACCCTTGCAGTGTCTTAGTCTTTCCTAATCTCCAATCTGAACCTCCCCTGGTGCAACTTGAGGCCGTTTCCTCTTGTCCCATGGCCTGTTCCTTGGGAGAAGAGACCGACCCCCCCTGGCTACACCCTCCTTTCAGGGAGTTGGAGAGAGCCAGAAGGTCTCCCCTCAGCCTCCTTTTCTCCAGGCTCAACACCCCCAGCTCCCTCAGCTGCTCCTCACCAGACTTGTGCTCCAGACTCCTCCTCAGCTCCATTGCCCTTCTCTGGACACGCTCCAGCCCCTCAAGGTCTTTTTTGTGGTGAGGGTCCCAAAACTGGACCCAGCACTCAAGATGGGACCTCACCAGTGCCAAGTACAGGGGAGATGGTCACCTCCCGAGTCCTACTCACCACGCTGTTCCTGTTACAGGCCAGGGTGCTGTTGGCCTTCTTGGCCAGCTTGTTTGGCCTATCATTAATCTGGAAAGATTTTTAAGCAATCACAATGCGTTTAGACTTTTGTTTTAGATCCCATCATTGGTGTGTGGATTCTCTTCAGGGATGAAATGGAGTAGACAGGAGGAGAAAGAGCCTGTTCAGAGCTCCTTTTGTTTGTGTTTCTTGAGTTAACCTTATTATAGGATGTTCCTGAGGGTTCTTTCATGAACGTGTCGCCGTAATTATTGTGTAACTAATTTAAATAGAATTAGTTTTCTCTCTTGCTGATGGCGTAGCCTTAAGCTTAGTATTTTATAGAACAGCTTGAGGGAAGTTACTCTACTTTGGCTGTTCAAGGGATAAAGAGCTATTGAGGAAACCACCTCGACACCTCTAGATATTTCAACCTTCGTCGTCTTATGGTGTTGGAATCCTCTTGTTTTAAAAACACATTGAGATGGTTCATCTCAAGCTCTTCTGTGGGAGTAGAGCTCTGATGTTAACGTGGACTGACACGCTCTGGTCTGCACCGTTTGAGTTAAGTGGGTCTAAAGTGCTTCGTTAATGGATAAATCAGGATATTGCTGGGGGCCAGCGTGGGTTTAGAGAGAGGCATTTAACGGTGGGACTGCACCTGTCCATCTGGTACATTCAGTTGCTGTTGAGGAAACATGACTTTCCATTTTTTCTTCAAAAAAAAATTTAAAAAAATTAGTAATTTAGTCTGTCTAGATGCGTAAAGCCAAATTTTCTTCCTTGCTACCAAATTCTTCCCTCATGACTTTCCATTTTTTCTTCAAAAAAAAAATAAAAAAAATATAGTAATTTAGTCTGTCTAAATGCATAAAGCCAAATTTTCTTCCTTACTACCAAATTCTTCCCTGGGCTTTACCAGTAGAAAGCTGGTGAGACTTTAATGAAGTAAATGGTATTTACACTGGTAGTCCTGGGAACTGAATTTGGCCAATAAAACTTGGAAATTTGACCACCACCCGAGGTGAAGTCCGCATGCAGTAGTTGCTAGGCTACTGATATACAGTTGTCAAACAATTTCACTTTTTTCTTGCTCATTTAACTAGAAAAACTGTCCGGCAGAAAAGCCTTTTAAGTAAATTATTGAATTTGCAGTGTTTTGCTGTATGTATTAATGGATTTATTTTTTTTTTTCCTCTTTCAGAGCGTTCAGTCAGAAAAGAGCTGCAATTGAGAAAGAATATGCACAGGTAGGTCCCGGAATAATTTTATTGTCTATGAAATTGTTCTTTTAAGGTAATTTATTCATTAGCAAACTTTCCACGGTGTGTGTTTTTTTCATTTATCCTTTCCATAAGTTAATTAATATGAAAATACCTGTTGAAATTCGGACTCGGGCAGTTTGGCCTGTGCAGGATTTGAGCTCATTCTGTGTTTTGATGGACATTCTGACATGAGGAAGTTCTTGGGTACCAAAGGCATTTGAAACATTTTTTTCAGATTGTTGTAAAGTCGATCAACTTTTTAAGGTTTTCTCAGAAGTTTGTGTGAAACTTGAATAAAAAGTAAAATCAGGTCAATTAGAGGGAGAGGAAGTGTCTTCTGGTATTCACAGTCCAAAATAAATTTACATTCACATTCTTCAGTGAGAGCAGCTTCTCATTCATCTGAAATAAAAGCAGCCAGATTTGGCCTCGTGCTTGTGACAGGGAGTGGGATGAATTTTGATTTGTTTTTTGAGAAAAGGAGGGAGGATCCATTTTATTTTGGTTTTTTTCTCCCTTTTTCCAAAATTAGAAAGCATCTAATAAGGGGCAGCTGCCTGTTTAATTTACAGTAAAGGCTCTTGGGGCTTAAGTCCAAGTTCAACAGATTAAAAACGCAGTAATTTATTTTAAAATAAATTAAAGGTAGAATAAAATACAAGTGGAGAGAGCTTGTGGAGCTCAGTATAGAATAAATCCAAGTGGGGATGCACCTGATGTTACAATAGTTGATGTTGGGACATCAAAATAAAAATGTACGCATTTTCTAGTCCTGGATTTTTTTTCTGCATGTGATCTCAGCCCAAAACTTAGCTGAAAACAGTAAATCAAGTGAAATTTGTACTGAGATTAATCCAGATGCTCACAGTGGTCCTATAAAGGGTCGGCAGTTCCTGGTGCTCCAATTCTTTCATGGTACATGAACTTACATCGATTGCATCAGCAGCTGCACTTAATTTGATTAAATATAACAATTTTTCAGTGCTAGAACCAATCGATGCCTAATGATACTCTGATTAAAGGTATGTGTTCTTTATTGATTTTTGTAATGACATTATAGAGAACTTAAGATCAGTTCTTAATACATTTATCCATTCTCCACTGGGAATTTTTTTTATACGCGGACGATCGCTGCGTTTAGGGAAGAGTCTTGATAAGTTGAAAAAATAATTACATTCTCAGATTCTTCAGTCTTAACAACTGAGGCTTTCAGATACTCACATTTTAGAAAAAAAACTAACAACCAACCAACTTTCCAGCAATACAGCTGCGTCGTTTGGGATTCATTGAATGGGCCCTTGGATGAATGGAGGCTTGTGGCGGCGCTTCCTCGGGTCGCTGAGAAGTGCCCAGTTCAAGAACAATGTTGGGATGTTTCTTCTTGGGCCCGTGAAAGGATTTCTGTTTTGGGGTTTGTTTTTTTTTTCTGAAGTTGGTAATAAAATTTTCTCATAAAGCCTTTTTCGATGAGAGAATCCAAATCAAAATAAATGGGAAGTCGTATTCATCCCCAGTGGGAGATCCCTTTAAAACCAGTTATAAAGGGGAACTGGGAATTTTTAGTGTTTAGTTTCTGAAGAGAGATTTCTAAATCTTTTCCCAGATTCTGTCCAAACGCCTTTTGTCACCTTGGGGAAGTTGGAATATTTTAATTTAGGATGTTTTTGGCAAACTGAAAGAAGTGGAAGGGTGGACAGTGAAAATTAAGTTTCCCAGAACTGAATGCTTTGTTGGTTTAAAAAAAAACTTGGGTGCTGATGCTCTGCCCTTGGGTGCCAGGTGTCTGTTACATGGAGAGCTTTTATTTGGAGAAGGAGAACCTGGTAAACTGCTGGTGAAACACCACGTGTTGGTGTTTATAATTTATTTCTAATTACGTGGTAAGTGGCTTGAACGTGTGTGGTGAATTATAGGTTCTGCCTGTAAATTGCTCCGTGTCTTATTTTATCGAGGGAGTTTTTAAACTGAGTTCTTTTCACCGTTATTGTACCTGTTGCCATGGACAAAATTTTCTCATAAAGCCTTTTTCGATGAGAGAATCCAAATCAAAATAAATGGGAAGTCGTATTCATCCCCAGTGGGAGATCCCTTTAAAACCAGTTATAAAGGGGAACTGGGAATTTTTAGTGTTTAGTTTCTGAAGAGAGATTTCTAAATCTTTTCCCAGATTCTGTCCAAACGCCTTTTGTCACCTTGGGGAAGTTGGAATATTTTAATTTAGGATGTTTTTGGCAAACTGAAAGAAGTGGAAGGGTGGACAGTGAAAATTAAGTTTCCCAGAACTGAATGCTTTGTTGGTTTAAAAAAAAACTTGGGTGCTGATGCTCTGCCCTTGGGTGCCAGGTGTCTGTTACATGGAGAGCTTTTATTTGGAGAAGGAGAACCTGGTAAACTGCTGGTGAAACACCACGGGTCGGTGTTTATAATTTATTTCTAATTACGTGGTAAGTGGCTTGAACGTGTGTGGTGAATTATAGGTTCTGCCTGTAAATTGCCCCGTGTCTTATTTTATTGAGGGAGTTTTTAAACTGAGTTCTTTTCCCCGTTATTGTACGTGTTGCCATTGATATTTTTTTCGAGCTGTTTTTAGTTTTGCTTGTTGTCTGCCTCCAGTGGGTTCTTTACTGGTTTTTCTAGGCTGTGCTGTGGTATAAATGGGAGAGGTCGCTGCTGTGTCAGCTCTGGGACTTCTGGGGTCCTTTCTAGATCTGTTGGGAATATGCACCCGGCTGTTTCGCTTGGAGTTTTGGTGCTGCAGTATTTAATACATGCTTAAAGGCTTGCCTTAATATTCAGAATTGAGAGTATAGAAAGGCTGTCATTTCCCATTGACACTATGCTCAGTAATAGCATTTAAATTGAGATTTATTATTATTATTAACTATTCTCCTCAATTAATAAGCCAGCTGAAATCAGTGTCTGAGAATATTCTTTTGTTAGGTGGAAGCAGAACTTGGTAAATGTGTGTTTTTGCTGCTACGTAGTAAAAAACTGTTTTGCTTAACATGTTAAATAGGTAGGATGGTATTTTTTAGGGGTCATAATTACGTCCCTGCTGTACTTTTAAATATTATTTAACGCTTTTAAGTCAACAGCAGTCGTGCTGGGAACACACAAATGACCTTCCTTGTCGTGTTTTGTCACACTTTGGTGTGCCTTGATATTTAGCTGTCGTCGTTTCGGGCTAAAACATGACTCTGGGTCATCAACGTGCAAGTAACCTCCGAGAGCTTGAGCTGTGAAACCTGCTACTCCGTACAGGGCATGCTAATTAGTTGTTAATTATGGTGCCTCATTGATAATGTAGGAAAAAAGGTAGCAAAGTCCATTCTGTGGGCGACGTGAGAGCTTTCAATATGAAGTGAGGTGTTAGTAGAAGTGTCTGTTCAGGTTTAAAAAAGGAAAAGGTGCTAATTATTAGGATTTTTCTTCCTGTCTCGTTATTTTTGGAGGTCAAATTAACATCGAGGAGATGCCTGTGCTCGGTATGAACAGGTATCTTACCTGGGATCTGCATCACTGGGTGTGGATTGCTCTGGCTGGGAAACTTGATCCAGTTAAAACATTTTAAAATATGGAGAAACGAAAAGGTGGAATGGTTTATATCCCCACGTTCCTGTTGGCAGCTCGGAGTGAAGTCCAAGTGCGTCCTTTGGGGGGTTTGTGTCGGTGACAATAATCAAGAGAGGAGCCTGAAAATAAGATTAAGTGGATGCTGAAGAAGAGAGCTTATTTTTGAGAAAATTGCAATATTCAAGTAGCATTTTTAGTGTATATATATGTGTGTGTGTACATACTTTACACACATACCCTGACTTATACTTTATATATAAAGCACATGTACAATAAGTAAATATATAATTTATTTTATATATCTAAACAGTATTTATGGGCTGCGGGGTCCAAACAGTTGCATGATTTATTTTTTTTCCTTACTGTATCCATTTTCCATTGTTTAAAATCAGAAGATAGAAGCTGTTTCATTTACCACCTTCTGACAAGGACGCTGGGCTGCTTTACTTAAGATATAGTGACTTTTTAAACAATTTTTCAATGGATTAAAACTCTAAAGGGTGAAAATGAGAGATTTTCTCCCCGTGTCTTACTAGCTTGTGCTGTGACTAATGTTTTTTTCTCTTCTTTGCTATTTTAGACCACATAGTCCAACACTTTACAAATATTACCTGATTTATCCTTATACTGAGAAGCCTGGAAAGGTGATAGTGTTTTCCTAACGAGGAATTAGAGAAATGGAGTAAATTTTAGCCAACATAATACAGGTCTTTTTGATAGAATGGGAAATAGATCCCTGTTTTTTCGGACTACTTATTTATTTTAAAAACTTTTTTTAAACAGAAGCCTTTGGCAATTAATGCAACTTTTGCTTCAGCAATATAATTCCAATATTTTTTCTTTTTTTGCCTGGTAAAATGTTTAGAGGTTTATAGAAGAGGAGCCCAGTGCAAGTATTTATTTGTGAACTACCTGTGGTGGCGCATGGGAAGGTGCGGTGACCTTTAGCATAGATCACAGCCAACTTGAAAATGAAATTCCTCCACTTGTAAAAAAAGCAGAATCTTCCAAGAAGGAAAAGTCAGGTGCTGGGTAAAGTACGTCTCTCTTGAAAATATATTGCTTTGTTGCAACGTTGCTGTATTGACTGTAAGGGCAGGAGGATGGCAGACCAGATGCCAGAGATGGCACCAGATTGGGAATATGCACCCGGCTGTTTCGCTTGGAGTTTTGGTGCTGCAGTATTTAATACATGCTTAAAGGCTTGCCTTAATATTCAGAATTGAGAGTATAGAAAGGCTGTCATTTCCCATTGACACTATGCTCAGTAATAGCATTTAAATTGAGATTTATTATTATTATTAACTATTCTCCTCAATTAATAAGCCAGCTGAAATCAGTGTCTGAGAATATTCTTTTGTTAGGTGGAAGCAGAACTTGGTAAATGTGTGTTTTTGCTGCTACGTAGTAAA